GAGAACGCAGTGTTCTAGAGGAGTAATAGGGTACTACAGCTTGTTAAGTGCGTATAAATGCCTAAGCAACAGTCAGAAGTTTAATAGTGACTGAATGCTAACATTGCTACTGGGATATCCTCTGGCAGCCCCTGTTTGCCTTCCTGTACAAGGAGCAGTTTCCTGTGGATGGCTGGAAGGTATACGACCCGACAGCAGAGTACAGACGTCAGGTAACTGCAACACTGAATGAATACACACACTTAACTGGTGACATTTTTTCAGTGTTTAAACCATTGTTCATTTTCACTCTTTATACTTCTATTTTATTCTATTTTATTATTGTTAGATTCATCTTTATGTTCTTTATCTTTTTGGTAGACTTGTTCTGAAGCAAAACCTGTTTTGATTTGATTAACTCTTCAACTAATTTAGCCTGATAGCATGTTGTTGGTATGGACATAAAGGCATTTTGCAATGATCATTTTCATGATTCAGGAGAATGTATTAGAGATTTCTTCAGGGTATATACACATCTGATTAATTCCATCACCTCGCAATACTGTAAGCAAGGCTATATATTTTCTTCAATTTAATTTTAGGAAAACTGTGATAGTATGAAGAACAAACCACCATATGCATACAGTCTAAGTATAAAAGGTTCTATAGAATCTTTTGTTTGCATTTGTATTCATCAGTTGCTGTAATGTCCTCAGTTTACAACACTGCTATCTAGTGGTTGGGGATTTAAATAAAAGAACAGTGTTCATGAGAATCAATACAATATCACAAAACAAAGTATTGCAAAAAACTACAAAATGGAAGCAACTGGAAATAATTAAATAATGACATAAGTACTTTTGTTAGAGAATAATAACAATAATACTATCAATAATAATAATAATATTTATATTTCTAGAGCACTTTTAAAACCAATGTTACAAAGTGCTTCACAAAATCATGATCAATCGTGATCATCTTTCTTGGTTGTAGTTAAAAGCCTAGCAGCTGAGTTCTGTACAGTCTTGAGTCAGTCAATAGATTTTTGGTGGCATGTAAAATGTTCTCTGTGAGTTTAAAATTTAAAAAGGACTGGAAAATATTTCCAAGATGATAAAACATAATTGCACAAACTCTGTGATGTGCTACAAGAGAAGAAGACAAACACAAAGCAGCAGAGTGGTGACATCTGCAACAGCTGATTAGCATCCATTTATCAAGACCACCCATAAACAGGTAAATAAGGTAAAGAAAGGCCCTGGGCAGTATCTGAGTATTTACAGTATGTAAGGAAACAAGTTTGCTAAGGTACATGCATGGCGATAGCACAAATAACAATATTTTCTAGACTTCTAAAGCAATGTTTTTTCCTAAAGGGACTATCATTGAGTAAACTGACAACCCCCAAACAGTGAACACAAAAACTGCAGGGAGTTTGTGTTACAAGATATTATATAATACATTAGACCCCCTGTGAAGCTTTGGCAACCCCAGGTTGGGAACCACTGTTCTAATGTTTCCTTCCATCTGGTTGCATGTGTTTCGTCAGGGCCTCCCCAATGAAAGCTGGACCTTCAGCAAGATGAACAGCACCTATGAGCTGTGTGACACCTATCCCTCCACCCTGGTCATCCCCACCAACATCACAGATGAAGACATCAAGCGAGTGGCTGTGTTCAGAGCCAAGCACCGCATACCGGTCAGTCTGAGGACCACTTTCAGTGCTCATGATGACCACTGACCATTCCAATGAAAAGTCTGAAACCAACGAAGTGTCTGTCTCTCAATACTTTCTGACTCAGTGGCTCTTCGTTCCAAACCCTTTGTCTCCTACTGAAGTAAATCTTTAAAAACAGCTCACAAATGTCCTAAAACAGCATGCCACTGTACTGTTACTAAAACAGGAGGAAATAGGGCCTTGATGAGGACTATTTTAAGTGGCGGATTAATCCACAGTCTGTGCTGTAGTGACTATTTGGGGCAGTATCTGTGTCATGGTAATGAAGGAACACCACCCAATGCAGCAGTGTGGCTCATGATTTCTTTTTTGGTGGTCCTAAACTGGTCCCCCTGCTCTTCCTGCAGGTCTTGTCCTGGATTCACCCAGAGTCTCAGGCCACCATTGTACGCTGCAGCCAGCCATTAGTCGGACCTTCGGACCGCCGATGTAAAGAGGATGAACGCTTCCTCCAAATCATCATGGATGCCAATGCCCAGTCCCACAAGCTCACCATCTTTGACGCCCGGCAGAATAGTGTAGCAGACACCAACAAGGTACGACACAGGCTTGGTTAAACAGAAAGATAGAGAACGGTTTTATTCTCTGCTCACCTCAGCTGCCTCTGACATATTCAGGCAAAGGATGGAGGGTATGAAAGTGAGAGCTTCTACCCGAATGTCGAGCTGAACTTCCTTGAAATCCCCAACATTCATGTGATGAGGGAGTCTCTGAGGAAGATGAAGGACGTGGTTTACCCCACCATAGATGAAGTCCACTGGCACTCGGCTATTGACCAGACACACTGGCTGGAGTACATACGGGTAAATCACAAACACGGCCACTTTGAGCAACCCATGAGCTGCACAGGGTGTGTCATTAATACACTGCGTGTGTCTGCTGTGTGTAGCTGTTATTAGCAGGAGCAGCGAAGATAGCGGATAAGCTGGAGTCCGGGAAGACGTCGGTGGTGGTTCACTGCAGTGACGGCTGGGACAGGACTGCTCAGCTCACCTCTCTGGCCATGCTGATGCTGGACAGTCACTACCGCACTCTCAGAGGATTCGAGGTCACACACTACATCACAATATCAACTACATACCACAGTCTTTATCAGCAACAGAATGAGGAAATGTGTGTTTGTGTTTACAGGTTCTGATGGAGAAGGAGTGGATTAGTTTTGGACACAAGTTTGCTGCTGTAAGGAACAAAGAGTTAAACTGATGATATTCTTACTGCTGATGAACTCGTGCACTGTAAAACTACTATTACATCACCCTTAAGCTGCAGTATGTTATTTTTAGATAAATATTTCTGGGCCCCACCTTGTGGCAATTTAAAGCAAATTCGGTTATTGTGAGTGAGCTATTCAGTGTGATGAAAAATAATATAAATCACATTAGATTTCCACTCATTTATCCTATCAAGTTGACTAAAGACTGACCTTATAGGTTTTTGGACTTATATAGCGGGCTCAGCTAGAGTGAAGATACTGCTATCATATGAAACTAGACCTAAGGCATCCATAGGTACCAAACCATGTCATGCTAGTTTGTTGGGAATGGGGTAAATAACACTCCAAAGTTAGGCTAAATTTCAGTGATGGAAAAAAGATTGTGATGGTTATTTTTCTAATGGATCCCTTGACCTCTGACCTCAACATATATAGGCACCCACGAGTCTCCTCAATACAACCATGCAACTCTGCTTACCCCATGCAGTTTTTTGTATGCAGTATAAATGTGTTGTGAGCTCTAGGCTAGCACAGGCTCATGAAACTGTACAACCACAAACAAAGCTACCTTACCTACATATATATGTATGACATATCACATGTTCTGTGTTGTAGCGTGTGGGTCACGGTGATGAGAACCACGCTAACTCAGAGCGCTCACCTCTCTTCGTCCAGTTCATCGACTGTGTTTGGCAGATGACTCGACAGGTCAGTCTCCATTCTCATACATATGTATTGTATAAACAATATGTTTATTGTTTTCACATTAAATATATAGAATAAATGTACTATATCAGGAGTAGCATGTCCATTTACCTCCACACCAGCTAACTACTGACAGCAGACATGCTACAACCAGTATACTCAGGATTTCTCATTTTCATGAAGCAGCACATTGAAAGTATACACACTGCTCAGCCAATCAGGATGAGCCTATTCATGTGCACATGGGCTCATTCATAGACATTTAGAAGCTGCAGCTCTCTACTCATAATCACCTCTGTTCCTCTGCCTGCAGTTCCCAGCAGCCTTTGAGTTCAATGAGCTGTTCCTGATCACGGTGCTGGACCACCTGTACAGCTGTCTCTTTGGTACATTCCTCTATAACAGTGAACAGGAGAGGGCAGCCAAGGTTTGTACCATTCTCCTGTTAACGGGGGTCATTGTTGGGGTTGAAGGCTCAGATTAAACTCCTCCATCCTGTGCAGGAGGTGCAAACCAAGACGGTGTCCCTGTGGTCCTATATTAACAGGTAAGATATTAACCACATTGATATGAGTGAATGAGTGGAGAGATTCTCTGACTGTTCAATGTTGTCCCCCAACAGCCAGCCTGAGGACTTCACCAACCCCTTCTATGTGGACTATGAGCACCACGTCCTGTATCCGCTGGTCTCCTCCAGACATCTGGAGCTGTGGAGCAGCTACTATGCCCGCTGGAACCCACGCATGAGACCACAGGTACATGACCAGCATTACCGGCAGAGAACTGCCCAGTATGACCAGTTAAAGTAACACTAACAGAGAAAAAAGAGGGGACTGGTTAACAAAAGCCAGTGTTTCAAACAGGAAGTCAGTCTGATCAGTAAAACAATAAATCAACAACCAAAGAAAGAAAAGCACTGAGCAGTAAGTATGTGTGAAATCAACAGAATCATTTCTGATCCACTAATGTTTCATTGTCTGGACTGAAGTTAAATGGACTGTACTTATATAGCGCCCCTTTCTAGTCTTTGGAGCCCACTCAATGCGCTGTACACAACATGCCGACCTCACCCCATTCACACACATTCATACACTGATGGCAGTGACGGATCCCACACATCGTCATGGAAACCTGGAAATTGATACAAATAGGAAAAAAAGGATTTTATCATTCATACATGAATTGATGTGTAACCAAATTAAAAGGATTCCAGTTGTTAGAATTACCACTGGGTTTATTCTCATACAAATATATAAAAGCTGTTTTTTAAATCAGAGGGGCTGGATCTGCATTTTCTGCAAGGTCCTGGAAAAACACTTCCACGTAAATCAATCAGTGAATCAATTATTGTACGAATTAACATTCCTTAACTGAAGATGTATTCAGTGTGAACTAATTACAAAAAGTCATAGTGACTTCATCATTCATTAATTTATCAATGTTGAACAGGAATTACATCCTGCATTCATTCATGCATTTAATATTGCATGCATTAGTTAAGCATTACTAGTATATAATATGATTTGTACTTATGATAAAATGTTATTCATGTTTGCCATAAAGCTGCAGTGGGTAACTTTTAATAATAAAATAACTTTTTGTTATGTTTGCTGAAACTTTCACTATATCCAGACAGTAGTACATGAGACAGATAATCTGTGAATGAAACAGGTTTGCCTTTTTGTACTCTTTGTTTATGGGGATACATTAACTCCTATCAGAAGTGATTTAGAAATGTTTCAATTCTGTTTCAAAGAAGCAAACAGTGAAAGGAGAATGGATGAGATACAGTCACCTTACAATTTATGTAGTGAGTCAACAATAAAGCAAGATTATTATGCTCTGATAGCTGACTGTTGACTGTCAATTCATCTTTTTTTAGCTTCACTGACTTCACAGAATCGCTGGCTTGAAAAACAGCAAATATACAGCAAAAATACTCACTTCTAGTAGCTAGAAATAATGGGAATCTAGGGGTGTTGTAGTGGAGGAAATAGTGGAACTAAACCACTCAGGGCCCAACAGTGGGGAGCCATCAAGAGGCCTTGAATTAGTTTGTTTTTATTTGTAATTAAATGGACCCTTGTTAGTGTAAAATTAGCAGCTTCGTTACAATAAACAAAAAAGACTGGCCATGGTGAGGGTGCACTGTGTTAATTTCTTCTAGTTGTTTCATATAAATTTAAACTCCCCCTTCATATACAATGAAAATAAAAACACAAGTCTACTAAAAATGGATTTTGTTGGCCGCAAAATAATGGCAAAAGTCAAAGGTGCCTGTTGTTACGACCCTTTCCCATTATGGCTCATTGAAAAAGAGGTCTAACATAATCACACAGTCAGGAGTTGCCAAAAAAGGTTTATTTTTAAACAATGAAAAAGACCAAGAAGTCAAAAACTAGTGAAAGCAGTCAAAATAACTTGAGGGGCCGGCCAAAATCAAAAAAAGAAGAGAAGCTGCCCAGACCAGCCCGGATAGGGCCGTAGGATCAGAGCTTCTTTTCTCTACCATAAATCTAAACCTTAAAGAAACTAAATCTTACTAACAGAAACAAATCATCATCATTGTCTTCACTCTACCATGTTTTTTTGTTTTGTTCTTTATTTCTGTCAAGCACTGATATATAAATAAAGTTATTATTATTGTTATTATAACATAATGTGCTGAGATTGTTCAAACTAAAGCACATACACTGCCCTAATAATCATTACAGATCCATGTGTTTAATTCTTGATCAGTTATTAGTACATGTGTCAGAATGGCTTGTATTAAGAGGAGAAGGGGCCAATTGAGACTGCTTATGCACAGGGTCCAGGCTTTCTTGTTATACTGCTGTGCAATACACTTTTCATTAGCAGAATGCTGAAGTGGTATAATAATAATAATAATAATAATAATAATAATAATAATTGTGTATCCTCTATTCCTCTCTGTTGTTTGTGCCATTGGGAAAATTCAGATGCGTATCATTGGGACAAACAACTGAAACCGTTCAGGTCCAGGTGAAATGGTTGTCCTGAGTCTCCAGGCAGAGACCTGGACACATTGTAAAGCTACTGGAAAAGGTAGAAATGTGATAACACTGTGAAAAGGCTGGATATTTTATTCATAAAGTAAACAAAATAAATACTAAAGCCTGAACTGCTGCACATGCACAAAAAGATAGAGGTCACCTCTTGTACCTGACTGAAGTATTCACTATCAGATGAAAGGTTCAGTGTAGTTCTATTACAGAATGTGTAATAGCTGATGCCTGCCTAATTATTTAATTAAATGAAATTTATGACAGACATTAAAAAATGATAATAATCAGTGAAATCTATCATTATGTATTGTGGTTTTGAAAGTAGTTAGGATCTCAGGTCCCCAGGCAGAGCTCTGACAAGGGTAACTCAAACTAAATCTACGGTCCTTGCTTTGGCATCAGACACAAAAGCCAAATCGGGACTTCACAGACCTGTAGATGCTATCCCAAAATATTACCAGACAGTAAGACGGATGTCGGAGTCTATGGCATTGCTAGGAAACAAAACACACATAGATTTGACAAGCCTTCCCCAGCACCTACTAAAACTTGTTATGACAACTTGAGTCTTTTTTCAGAGTTCTGGCTGTCATCTCTGTCGGTAATAACTGCTGAGATCTGGGAACACATCTCTTAATAAGGCCGGGGAAGCAAGGGTGGAACAGGCTATGTTCATTTAGGTCAGGGTCTGGAGGCTGTTCATGATGGGACATGGGGTGTGGATTTCAGTCTCTGGGATTTGAATGCTCATTGTGAAGAAGAGCAAACTGTTAAAAAAAGAGGTCCGAACTTTGCTTTTGTTCTGTAGCAGTTGTGGTGAAGTAAATCTAGTAATTGGCCAGAGTGTGCTGTCAGAATATTTACTGTAATAAACATTACTGTGCAATTTAAACATCATCAGTGTTTGCCTTAGTGTTTACCACAATCTAATTTTAGACTGTTAAGAGTGTTTACTGTAACATTTGCTCATTACCACAAACATAAAGTACAGCTTAGGCTGATGGGATTGTTGGACGAAATGAAAATGTGACCTAATGATGTTGCTAGATGAAAAATCAGAGAATGACCAAAATTCCAAAAGACCATGAATGGCTGTACCAAACTGCATGGTAATCTATCAATCTGCTATCAAGACAGGGTCACAGATGTCTATAGTCACTGTATATAGTGGGCTGCCTAAAGTCATTACAAGTCTAAACCCTCACTGGCGGCACCTAGAGGACACACTCAACTGCAACTCACAACGTACGATGGGACAATCAAAATACTGATGCCTTTGCCAGCTGTAGAGCCTAACCAGTAGTGGAGTTATAAATGTAAGGTTTTACACCATTAAGGTGGTGCTACAGGAGAAGTCAGGGATCAACAAAATAATTAGGATTTATCCTCTGGGGACCAGAGGTCTGTACTACATTGTGTGCCATTCTGTCATGTAGATGCTAGGGTAATTACTAAAGTGTGACCTGCTGGTGGCTCTAAGTGAAAGATCAGGGGATTACCAAAGTCATAAAGATTATCTGAGTACCATACCAGTATATAGCAAAGTTTTTTATTGATTTTGACCCTAAGGTACAAGGTATGATATCACCCTCTCCACTTCCACTCCCTGGTTCCTCTAGTAGTCCACCACCAGCTCTTGTCTTGCTGATATTGAGCTTCCGGTGATTGTTGTTGCAGCATGTGATGATGTTCTCCATCAGTCCTCTGTACTTCCCTTGTTGTCGCCACTACAGTTCCTTGAGGCGTGCAAGTTTTGCTTATCATAATCGTAGAGGCACAGCCATCCACTCTGACTGGCCAACCAGTGACATAGTCCATGATCCAAGATGCAGTGTCAGCTTGTCCCTCAGAAGCAGAGGCTGGATGGTGTTGAAAGCACTGGAGAAGTCAAAGAATATGACTTTTACAGTTCTTCCCTGCTTCTACAGGTGTGACAGGGTCTTGTGTGTCAGGAAAATGATAGCATCCTCCACTCTGTTGTTTGGCTGGTATGCAGGAGGTCCAGGAAAGAAGTTAGAAGGGTCCTCAGGTGTTGCAGATCCAGCCTCTCAAAGGTCTTCATGACATGTGATCTAAGTGCCATAGGTCTGTAGTCACTGAGAATGCTGGGACGTCCTTTCTTTGGCAATGGAACAATGCAGGTCTTCCATAGTTTAGGCACCTTCCTCAACCTCAAGAAAAAATCCAGGACACCGCTCCATATTTCCTCTGGTCTATGTAGATGTATGCTGAAGGAACTCCAGCTGCAAACTGTTAATCCAGTAGCTCATTGCCAGTGTAAGAAACCATGGTCTCCAGGTAATATTCCATAAATAAAAAGTTGCAGTAGTGCAAACATGCTTACAGGGTGCTTACATGAAGTGCTCATGATTCACAGTGTGTAAGACAGAAGTCCAAGAACAAGGAAAGTAAAGTAGGAACTGCTGCAACAAGCTCCTTCCCGCTCGGTGACTGGAAGTTAATTAGTTGTATGGGTCTTCCTTCCTTCCTATGAATGTTCCATCTTGCTAACTATGTCAAATGACTCATTTTGTTATGTTCTGTCTTGTTTTACCCATGTTTTGTAAAAAACATTATATATGACAGTTAGACCAGGATGTCCCACTGCAAACACTTCCTTTAAATTCGGCCAGGTAGTCATACTTTCCTTCAATTTGGAAGACAAGACCACCATGTCCTTTACAGCGCTCATTGTCCCACAGTCTGTTGCATGCTCACTTGTCATTGTGTCCAGTTGTAATTCCCTCTACCCACTCAAGACCTCAGTCAGTTAGTGGGCCAAGACTGGTGCTGAGATG